TTATTATATCATCTATCATTCATTTAAATTATTTTTTAAAAAAGTCATTAATAATTGAATATGAATAGTGAATGATATAGTAAGAAACTAACAATATATAAAACTGTTACATTGTGATTCTCAATTCTATTTTACTTATTTTTTAAATTATGCCGACATACATTAGAAAATATTTTTAAAGTGAAGTTAGAATGTGGATTGATTATGAATAGTACCAATTTTGTAATTTTCCTTCATTTGAGGTGCCACATTGGTAAATTGAGCAGACCTCTTTTCTAGTCATGGATCCAAGGTGCTCTCGATATATATATATAATTATATTATACCAATAAACTATTACTGTCACCTTTTTCCATGAATAAAAAAAATCTTATTCATATTTTGGTACGTGATTAACACATCTACTGCTTGGAATAATGGTACGCCATAGATATCTTATCTCTATTTGCATTTTTCTATTTCAATTTCAATATTTTATAAGAATATTCAATGGTTCTCAGTTAATCTAAAAAATATCAGTTAAACACGTTGACAATGTTTCATTTTATTTTGTCAGAAAAATAAACTATACAAAGAAATAATCACTTTTTCTTTATTAAAAATGACTTTTTAGGTTGGTAAGAAAGTATAGCTTATAGAGTTGTATGTCTCATTGCCAACTTGTTGCTGAGTAATATATAAAATCCGATGTGTCTTTGATGAGTATACGAGATTCAATTTACCTAAACTTCTTTATAAAATAAATACTTTGTGCATTTATTTAAAATATTTAATGAGGTACAAAGATTTAAATAGACATGGGTATGGTTTGGTGGTGAGCCATAGGATATGGGCCACCAAAGATATATTATAGCCATCTCTAGATTTTCCTGCTACCATATACCACCACCTATTACATGTGCAATATATTTTCTAATTTTCTTTTCTTTTTACCATGCATCAAATAAAATTACTGTAGTCCATATATCTACAATTGTGATAGCTATGGTTGACAAGATCATGATTTTCTTTGTGAAGTAACATGACCTTATGCTTTTGATGCTCCTAATGAGTCAAGATCTTACTAAAATCTCGATTTTGTGAACATTAGTGAAAACATTGAGCAAAGATGTGAGATGTGTCATCCTCGCGATCTTAACGAGTTTAAGAGTGACTGAAAACTAACAAACTATAAATCCCCAAATTTTAGGTCTTCACTGTATTCGTAAAATATTTGTTCATCTCACTGTTTCAATAAAATACAATGACTCCACCATTGCTATTTTAGTCGTACGTTTGGGAGTCAATTTTCATCTTTATATGAATAGATTAATGATTAAAATATAAAGTAAGTTTAAAAATTTTAATTCATCCTCATCGGTCATTGAGCAAGTGGTTGGATTGTTATATATGGCCTTTGAAAATCATTTGCCACTTCATATCATTCTAGTACACATGGCAATAATAAGAAGGTTTTTGCTACATTTAACTTGCCAAAAAAAGTAATTGATTGACATTGACAATTGGCAAATCCATAAAATTATTTCACATTAATAACTACTCTATTGGATTTTCTATACAATCAAAATTTGAGTATTTGGATGTTATCAAATATAAGTTACCATAGTGTATAGCTAATTCTCTAATACCACAAGAAATCCACTCATTAGTGTAAGTTTGCCCGGAACTAAACTAGAAAGTGTTCACTTTTTCAAGGTTCACCTCTAACCACTTTAAAAGAGGGGTTTGGATTCTCTCTGCTAATCCAGCAGTGGAACATAAGGTCCATAAAATTTTGAAAAAAAAACTTTAATTGAAAATGATAAAAAATCTGCACTGTTAATCTTTTTTAAGTGATACATATCATAATCTTTGGTTGTACTGGACTCTCCCGTACAATAGAGAATCCTAATTCTTATTGATCAAAGTCAATGTTTGCCCAATCAAAATTTAGCATAGACATTATTAACTTTGCCATCAGAAAACAATGAGCAGATATCCTGAAATTGATGTGTAAAAAATAAATCAAAATAGAAAATGAAAATACAATTTTATTATTTTATTTACACTTATAATGACATTTTTATCCTTAAAATAAATATAAAAATAATATTTTCATCTCCATTAATGAGGAGGAACCTACTCGAAAACAATGGGATTGTCTAGATTTTTCTATTCCATCTAATAATCTCAATATCAGTTTTACATGTTAAACTTATCTAGTAAAATTGTTAAAAATAAGTTAAATTCTTAATTTTTCAATCATTATTAAATTTAAAGATTCCATCTCTAAGAAAATTGGATCATCTCTAATGTCGAAAAATTTAGTATTAGAATAGATAATAACATAAGATCTTATATAAATTTTAATGATACAAATTATAAACAATCGCATATCATTGATTGTAATAATAATATAATGTTTTATCTCTTTTACACAATTGCATGATTTTCTTATAGGTTTTTTATTATATATAAAAAAATGAAGGGGAGTATTTGTTAATAATAATAAACTATTTTATATTACTCCTAGATTTGAACCCTTGAACCTCGTAGATACAGTTTATAAATTTCTGTTATCCAATCGCTTTTAGTTACACTGCTAGGAACCATAACATCTTTGTTATTTTATATGCTTCTAAACAATATCATTGTATCTTAGGATACAAATTATAAAATATATATTATCATCAACCAATATCATTACTTATAAGTTTCATCAAATGTGAACAATTTTTCATCACTTATTCATCTAAAATACACACAAAAAAGTGACACTCACCATTACAAGCATGGGACTAGAAGAATTATCATCATCTGACAATGAATCTCAAGAACAAAAATTTGATCTTTGTGTAGATTCTGAACACAAGGCCACTGAATTCAGATTATTTCATTTATCATGGGTCTCTTTCTTTTCTGTTAAGTTCCATATTGTTCCATATTGGATATGGGTGCTTCAAAATTCACAGCATGGCGAATCACATTCTTTGTTCCTGCCTTTTTCCAAGTATTGACAGCATTTTCTGTATTGTATCTTAGGAGGGTTTATTTCTGATGCAGTGGGAAAGAGGTTTGGAATGAGGGGTAGGCTTTGGGCTTTGTGGCTGTGCCATTCTGCATAATCCTTGGCCTAGTTGGATCTTTAAGTGTGTCTATTGTTGTTATGATCATATTCTCTTTGTTTGTCCAAGCAGCATGTGGAATGACATTTGGAGTTGTTCCTTTTGTTTCAAGAAGGTACATTTTCCACTCATTGTTTCAATCAAATCACTTAATCTTTACCTTTAGTCCTATAAAACATGTTCACCTTTGTTCACTTTTATGTATACACAATGGAGCATGACTCTACATTGAAGAGTTCACATTTATAGCACAATATATCGGTCGGTACATTGTGCTATAAACCTGAAAAGTATCACGAAAGTATCACTTTCCGGTGTACATGAAACATTTTGGTATTAACAATTATAATAATTATGATCCATGTACACACTTTCAGGTCATTAGGGGTGATATCTGGGATGATAGGAGCTGAAGGCAATGTAGGTGCAGTTTTGACACAGTTAATTTTCTTCAAAGGATCTAAATTTTCAAAAGAAAAGGGAATAACTCTAATGGGTGTGATGATCATAAAATGCACTCTACCATTATTTTCAATCTACTTTCCACAATGGGGTGGCATGTTTTTTGGTCCATCATCTAAAAAGGTATCAGAAGGAGATTACTATTTGGCTGAGTGGAACTCAAAGGAGAAGGATAAAGGTTTTCATCATGCAAGCTTGAAATTTGCTGAAAATTGCACAACTGAAAGAGGCAGAAACTTTAACACTTCAATATAGTTTTTGTTGTTATCAAAGTTATTTCTTATAGTAAATTTGTTGATAGTTTGATATTGCAAAAGTTGATTTCATATGGACAAGAAAAATGATGTATGTGTAAAGATACTCAAAGTTATGCTTGATTGCCCTATAATACCTTGTAAACTACAATACAATTAAGTTATGATAATGAAGGAATAATTTATTTGCAGCAATGACCCTCATCACTTATATTTTTATAATTTAAAAACAGGACACTCAAGCTTTTGATATAAGGTTAGAGGTGAAGTGTACCTAAATTTAAATTTTTTATAAAAAATAATAGACTGATATTTTATGAAATTGTCTTAATCATATGATACCTTATACTGTTTAAATAGTCTATATCCAAAAGTTGGTTTTAGTGGTGATATTCTTTAGGACTTATGTGTGAATATAAATAATTAACTCCAAGACAAATCAATCATATTTTGGTGACCATGTTAATTATTATATATAAAGGCCATAAAGAAAAGACAAGTAAATAACAATATTAGTTGTTGGCATCTACTCATTATGACATTTAAGAAGAGGCAATGCAAAAAAGCTCCAGTGGATAATCTAGCTGCTATTATTTTCTGTGCTTATCTGATGAGGAGATTAGTGCTTTTTTTTGTATAAGTAGAACTCATCAAAGTTTTTCAATGGAAGTTAAGTTATTTTCTTTATAGAAGAAGTGGAAGTTAGTGTTACACAATAATAACCAGCTAGAGAATTCTAAGACTAATTGAATTTTTAACATAAGGTTTAGTGTTGAATTCTTTTAAGGTGTACTTTAGACTAATTGAATTTATTTGAAGAAGAAAAAAATTTGTTACATAGAATAAGATTGGTGGAAGTTGAAAATTGTATATCATTAAAGGAAAAGTGGGGATGAGATCAACAAGTGGGTTCACTTATGCATTACAAGAAACATCCAATAATAAAAAGTCAATGACAAATTAACAAAATTTATTATTTTATTATATTCACAGCCATGCCCTTCAATGAATGGAACTATGACATGAAACATCATAGTAGTAATATAGGATATTTACAAGATATGCTGTTAGCATATTCAGTGTTTGTTGCTGACCATATAATAATTAAATAATTCTCATGTTGAGAACCTAATCAGCTATTTAAAAGCATTGGTCAGAAACTAATTTCTCCACTACCTTCAACATAACCATGGGTCATAGAAGAAGCATAAAAGGGACAGTGTTAGAGGGTCCTTACCCCTCACATTCTTCCTTCATTTTTGTATAGTGGCACAAGGAAGAAGACCATAGAAGCTTTCTCCAAAGGAATACAAGATTGACCTTTGGCAAACCGGCAAGTCATAAAAAGGCAATAGACTCCATTATATGGGCTATGTAATACTCTATTTTACTTCTTTCATTTTGTAGAATGTAATAATAATAATACCAAAAAAACAAACTTATTATCTATGTTTGGTATCTGATTTTTCCTTCTATGTATGTGTTTCCTGTGTTATGGCCTTACAACCAATAAAATAATAATATGTTAGACTACTAACTAGTTGAGGTTTTAAATTGAGTTTGTGTTCCTTGTTAATGTAATTGTGGTTGTGATTATTGCGTTACGACAGTCATAGACTTATAGTGTTACAAAATTTGTGAAAGAAAATTTGTTTATTAAACATGATGTAGTCTAATACAATCCGATGTAATAATATTATTGTGATTCTGAGCCATACTTGATCAATTCTTACTCCTTACTTTGTTTAAGGGGATTAACTGCATCAGATTGCATGAATATTTATAAAAGCCAATCTCAAAATCAGTTTTTAACTAACATGCCAAATGTACTGTTGGTTTCTAACTTCATAAATTAATCACTTAGGTCACACATTATTACTAATTTTATGAGTTGAATACAATATGCAAGATGTTTAACCTTCTCTTTTGAACAGAAACAATGAGGAATGGAAAAGTTTTACTCTCCTTAATGTATCATGCCACATGCTTGAAAGTAGATTAATACATGACTACAGATTACAGAACTAACATACAATCTTGTCACTCTCATCAAAGTAGCAAGTTATAACTCAAGACACTTATTATGATGGATTTTCCAATGGGAAACTCATAATGTACATAGATTGAAACTAAAGTATGCACAAAGAATCAGAAAGTGGTTGTGGAACAATACTTATTAGAAGAAACCTTGCTCAACTTTTCCATGTACCCTTTCCATATTTCAAGAGAGAAACATACAGCAATTCGTTCCAAGTATCTGGTACTCCAGGCAAGCACCAATGGCTGCAATCTTCGTATAAAGCCGTAGAGTCCTCTGTCGCCGCTGTCTTGTATTCCTTTCTGTATAAGGAAGGATGGCCATCTTTTCTGTAATCTGTGAGCCTACTTACATTCATATATATCACTGGTGTTTTCATATTTTGGATGACATGCTCGACCGCCCACATTTTCGAGGGATACTTTTGTAAGTAACTTTCATTAAATATCGGCTCGGTTTCGTTGTGGCACTGTCCACCTGAATTCCACTGCCCACCCCTGCATTGTTGTATAATTTATTTGTCAAGACATAGCAGTTGGAAATGAATCAGTAAATTGTTAAAACATACAATTTAAATGATAACCTTGGACAAATTTCAGAAGGAGAAAAAGAGAAGCTATGTAAAAGAGATTATAAGTCTAATGATATAAGGTTAGTTTTCCAATTTGTGTGATAGAAGCTATGTAAAAGAGAATAATACCAGAAATGTGTAATTGAGTATCCTCTGAAGAAAACTTGAGTTAGACTAGCATCAATTTTTCGGTCAATCCATTTTGCCCAAGTAGTCAGAGCCCTTGTATATGCATCCAAAACCTTGAGTCTTGGGTATACATGGTTTCCTTCTTGATAATAATCTTCTCTGTGAAACAAAATCACAAATCTTAAGGCAACAAAATCTGAATTTGATATCATGCTCAAATTCTGTCGCTTTTTCCTCTACATGGGAACATTATTCTAACCTACTCACCCTACGAGTAAGGAACTAATATGACTGTTCCTCCCAACAAGTGTCGCGAACCATTGGTCTAGTACGATATTGAGGATACAATGGGGCCTTACACCACTAGACTAATGCTTCATTGGTAACTAGACAACGATTTTATGGCAATGTATAAGAAAAAAGAGAATGAACTAACTAACTAACTAACTAACTAACCCTTTTGATGTTTTGTCATGGGTCCACCAATGGCCTGTATTGAAGACTATAATATCAGCATCCTGATACTTGGTAGTTGTCTGATCTATCAGATCCAATCTTAATGTCTCAAATGATCCATTTTTGCTTTTGAAAGTTGACTCTTGAACAAGGAATGGTGAATTAACAAAATCCACTGAACTATTGTAATCCTAAAAATACAGCAAAGAAATTATAATAAATGAGAAAACATTACATGATTTATTGTACCTAACAAAATATTATATAGATGATGTAATGAAACTTGCCTCAAATCTAAAAGAATAGACACCTTTCTTCTTAAATTGAGATTTTCCTGAAATTTCATAAACATGTTTCTTGTTGCTGATACTTTGCCTCAGGATACAGACCAGGGACTCCCACATGTTCCTGTTCAGTGAATCTCCCACAAAAACCAGCCTCTGTCCTCTCAACCTCTCCAGAAAATCAGTTGCATTCAAACTGAGAAGCAATATGAAATCAATATTTGACCAAATACAAGGAAAGTAATTGCTTCGTTTATAGCTTAAATCAAATGTCGTTTCTTAGAATCAAAGTAACATCAAGTCCTTATACATGTGATCAATGAGGCTGAGTACATATACTCTCCCGAACCCACTAGGTGGGAGCCTCGTGCACTAGGTCAAGAGTCGCAACTTTGAGAGTGCAAGGTGTTTAAACATATATAACCCAAACCCTCTTTTCACATTGTCAATGTTAGAAAAGACTTAGTCATAATCAGCCAGAAGGACTAAGTTCTAGAAAACTTCCATTTTTTTATTTCATTGTTATAATAATCATGAAACATTAATACTCCTCTTACTCATTATTTTATAGTTAACTTATTTTCCTTATTATGGATCAATTACACATCATGGTTGTTGTTAGTGATAAAGAGTAATCATACCTTGGAATGTTGCACCCATTTGGCTGCCATTTCCATTTCACATATTGACTATCAGGCCTTCCATTAAGGTAACAATCAAAATCTCTATCAATGAAGGGACAAGAACCTGAAGGGTAGTATGGCTTTGAATCATCTCTCACCCATTTACCATCAAAGATGTCACACTTTTCATATAAACCAACTTGCACTTTCTTCACTTTGAAATCATTGTGAATAACAATTACATTATTTTTCTTACTCAAATCCCTTCCAAGCTTTCCCTTGTATGAAGAATTTCCTACATTGCTATTCTTCAGTAAGTCTCCCTTTGAGGTTTTCTGTGTTCCCTTACCAGAAAGATTTGATTTTGAAGGCACCCTTCTTTCATCATCAAACAATCCTACATCTTTGGCTATCCTAGATGAATTTTCAACACCACTTTTCTCTGAAACTATATTAGGATTAAAGAAATCTCCTTTATCAGCAACTACTATATCATTGTTCACATTTGTTTTCTGTGCATGCATACTTGCATTATTACCATTTTCAGTGAAACTCAGAGAAGAAGAGTGGTTATTATTATTAAAGGGGCAAGAAGAAAAAGAAATATTTGGACCAACACTATCAAATCCTGGAAGAAAGACTTCAAATTTTGGAGACCTGAGGGAATAACAGAAAAACAAGAGAGTGAAAAAAATAAGAGAAACTGCAACACCTAAACTAAACCCAGAGAACACTTTTCTTCTATGTGACAAAAATGGCTCAGTGAATGCAAGTCTTTTCATGTCCATAGACAAGAACATGATGCATGTCCTCTTCAATAGTCTTGTGAACAAAGCAAAACCTTCTCCAGTAGAATAATGCAAAGTTGTATTAACTTTGAAGAAAAAATTATATTGCACTTTGAGTATTGTGGTTACAGACTATTGGCATTGAAGTGATATATTAACCCTTAAATCATGCATATATAGTGGCAAAATATTCTTAAGATAAAACCCTTTTTATTAACAGAGAAACCTTTATTTAAACCATTAAATTTGTGCTTAAATCATGCATTTAATTGATAAAGGGAGAGAAAAATCTTCTTGTGGTGCTAGGAGAAAATAAATGTGAACCTGAAAAGTTGTAACAGGTTTTTGTACTATGTGATTTAATATGTAGGGGATTCTATTGTGGGATAAGTCAAAGATTCAAAGTAACAGACAACAAAGGTTTAATTCTTATGAGATGCTAATTGATGTGCACTACTAACTATAGAGTGTTTCAAATTGTTATTACTTGCTTCATGAGTCTATTTTAAATTCAAATTTATAGGAGTAATATTTGATTCTTGTTGAAATTTTGAACCATAACAGATTTATATAAGTTTCAGATAATCTTTTATCAACCAAAATTATCTTTACTGATCAGTGTGGTAGTTAGTATCATGTACAAATTTTCCACTCAAATTAAATTATTATATCTTAGGAAAGATATTTATGATTTTATTAAAAATAAACAAATCTATATTCTTTGAATGAGATCACTTTTATTTTTATTTATCAAGAGTGATTTTAGGATTTGCTTTTTATTTGTTTTTACTTGTGAATGGCATGGTATATTCATACAAAATTGTATTAATCTTTTGACATTTTAAAGAAAATGGTGTTGATAATTTTAACATAAAATAAAGATTATATATCAGATGAATTTGAAAAAGAAATAATAGAGAGTAGTTATTTTTTATTATTGAGTGATTTTAAATATAAATTCTTAAATATATTGTAAAGAATTAAAACTAACCAATTAAAAAATCGAAAACCAATCAAAACTCGGTTTCCATTGTATTACTTCGGAATGATTTAAGATAGGAAATTGTTATAGAGTATACTAGTATCATGTGAGATTCCCCTTGAAGGTACTTGAGGAGATATTTGAAAAGATTATCCAACATTCAATTTAGGATACTAGATATATGAGAATGCAAATTATAAGAGTATGAGAATATTAAGATGGGGAGGGATCCACTTACTCTAAGAGTAAGTGGAAAAACACTTACTCCACGTCATGACCATTCATTCTTGGAAATCCAATGGTTTGAATTGGTGAGTACATCTAAATCATTGAATTTTTCAAGATTGGATGTCTAAGATGAAGAGTAGGTGTTTTTTAGAGTAAGTGAATCTCTCTCCTATTAAGATTTATAGTGGAGAGGTGAGTCAAACATTTTCTCGTAGATGTTTTTGGTCTAGTCGACAAAGGGATCTTATCAGTTCTGTTCTGGACAAATAGTGGTC